TCGTCGTCATCGCCGAGTCCCTCGTCATCGTCATCAATGCTGAGGCCGAGCTTGATCATTCGGTGGATGCGGCCTGCGAACTGCGTCGGCTCGTCCAGGTTGAAGCCGGAGGTGAGGAGCGAAGTGTCGAAGAGCAGCCAGATCAGGTCCTTCACCGTCTTGTCAGACTTGTCGGCAGCAGCCTGCCATTGGGGAGTGGGGTGAGCGTCTTGGGGAGGCTTCCACTCCTTACTTTCAAACCAAAGGATCACAATCACCCCACAAGCCTTCTTCTTAAGCTCTGCCATGATGGAGTGCTTGGGGTTCACCTCCATGGTCTTCTTGGACACCATGTACGAGGTCATGGAGTTGTCGCGAAGGGCCTGCGCCTTCATGATACCTTCACTGTGGCAGAGTATGTGAACAGAACAGCATGCAAACTGTGGAGCAAGCTACCTTTTCAGAAACCCGGACACATATGTGACTCGTCATTTTCTTAAGGCCAAGTGGCGCTCCATGTTGGCAGACCAGCCATACTCGGAAGTGGTCAGCACGCATGGCGAATCGGCCATGCGAGAGCTGACGATGACCTTCTCAACCTTGTCGCCCAAGACCTGCAGAAAATGCTGCCAGCAACTGTTGTGGATATATCTTTCGCGTCAGAGGTTATTCTACCCAGGGCATGAGAACTTGAGACGTCGAAGAAGCATTCGACCTGCGGACTTGCAGAGTGCCTCATGCAGGATCCACTTCAAGTTATGCACCCTTGAATTGTACTGAGACATCCCGGCCGCGAACATAATCATTCCCAAAAGTCTACAACCAAAAAAACAAAAGAGCTTGGACACTGCAACCCAATAGCTTATTACGGAACTTTCTCGCTCCTTACCGAACTTTCTAGACCCTTCCAAACCTGGAACTCCCTCGAACGCTTGAACCTATGGGCAAAAATCCCTCACTTAAACCCCAACACGCTACAACTCCAGAAAGCCCAAAACCCGCCGCCCCTCACAGGCCTCCTTCATCAGCTTAGTGAGAGGCTCAAACTCCGCCTTCATCTCTTCCAGCTTCTTCCTTATCCAGGAAACACGATGCATGATAAGTTGGAGGTGACCCGTTCTCCCTGAAGGTGAGAACTTTCGGTCATTTGAAGGACTCCTATGTCTGTAGGATATATCCCTCAGTCGCTCTACTTGTGCTCGCGTGC